GTCGGTTCCGACCCATAGCGACCCTGTACAGGGTTTCCGAGGGTGTAAATCTTTACGGGAGTAGAAAGCCTCATCTTTCTCCCGCGGAGCAGCTGGTATCAGGTACTTATTGTTCCAGACTCAAATATTGTAAATGTCAGTATAGCTTAACTTTTACTTGAAACAATCTTAACATGAGTAAAAAAGGAAATAACTTACCTTTATTGCATTGCCACCACCTTTGGGACCCTGAGCCTTCTTGTCAGCACTGTCACTTCCAGAGGATGCTCCCCCTTTGGAGAAGAGATGACAGGTATGCATTTAAACTGTACCTCACTATTTACAGAAAGGTCTAATATACAACAGGAGTTGATACTTCCAACATCACACCAAGCTTTAAAAGGGAACTTTGCCAAACATTTTGCTACATCAAACTAAATTAATCTGTGACTCATCTCTCTTAAAACAGGAAACTCATGCTTATAGAAACTTTTCATGGGAAATGGACACACAAAAGAGTGTGCTAATGGGTAAGAACTCCAGAAGTCAAGTCCAGAATCTCTGGACCCAAATTAAAATCCTACTTTTTAACAGAACATCCCCAAGCTCTAGAAAATTTTTAAATAAATCCTGCAACTATGAATGGAAGCACTCAAAATCCCAATAAGCAAAATCTCTAAGAACTTATTTTAAACAAAGATCAAGTTTCTCGCCATCCCTATTTGTCAAAAGGACACATTCATTGCCAAAATCTCTGTGGAGTCTACTGATGTTTTCATTGTCTACTGATGTTTTCCTAAGATTATTATAAGATTAACCACCATCTTACAATTTACTATTATGTCAGCTGCATACTGTCTGTTGAAGGCTGGTGCTTCTGAGAACTACTGTAAGATTACTTAAGTAACATTTCTTAAGTAATACTAAGTGGCTTAAGTAATACTAAGTGGCTTAAGTATTACAAGTTTCCTCTAATCAGACATTGGAGATACAAAGGTGAACAAGCTATGTATGATACTCTCCTTCAGGGAACACATAGTCTAATATGAAAGATAGTGTAAACAGATAATTTCAATAGAATGCATTAGGGGCAAAGGGATAGTTATAGTCAAGGGCTGTGAGAGCACAAAGAGATATTCTGGCCAGTCAGGAAAGCATTCATGGATGAAGAAGAGCTGACAAGCTGAGTAAAGAACACAGATGAGAAGTCACCCCAGAAGAAGGGAACAACATGGTATGTGTAGGAAAGAGTATAGCGGAAGCAAACTTTTTGGGTTTGAGGGCTGTGAAAGAAATGGGAAGAGGTGGGTTAAGGGGCAGGGCATAAAGGATTGTTAGGCCCCTTTAAGGCGCTTAAAATTCATCCAATAAGTAGTCATTGAAAATTTTTAAGTAGGGCACTCCATCTTATAATGCCTAGTACAGTGGTTGGCACATATCAGGTGTTCAATAAATGTCCAACAAAACTGAAACCCAAAAATACTAATAAAGCCTGAAAAAAATGTTCCAGCTACAGTTTTTTTTTTTTTTTTT